GCCCAAACCTCTGCTGGACCAGGTCAAGTTTTCTTCCACCAAAGCAGTGACCTGGAGCTCTGCGTCATCACCTTGGGCATTATCCAGCTCTGGCCTAAAGCCGGTCCAAGCCACAGGCCCCAAGAGATGCCCACAGTCACACAGACAGCTGCTAGTCCGAGGTGTTACGCAAAGTAAGTGCAAGCCCACCAGCACATAACTGTAGGTGGGCTCCCAACACTCTTCCCCCTGCTCCCTCTCCTGCAGGCTTCTCACAAACATCTCTGCATGAGGTGGTCCTGCTCACTGTGACACCTTCGATGGAACCAGAGAGCACGCCCAACAAATGCTGGCTGAGTCAAGGAACTATAGCAGCCTGCTCTGTTGAGCTCCAGGCATGGGACCTGGCATCCAGAACCTTCTGAACACCCACTCCCTCTCCTCTCTTGGCAATTATTTTTCTCACCACTGTCATGTTCTGGCCCAAAACCTACCAACAAAGTTCACCCACCTCAGAGTAAGCCCCCACCCACCACCAAGAAATGGCACAGAAGTGGAGAGATGTCCACTAGCCCTCCCAGGGAGTAAGGCTGTCTGGGCCCAAGCCACTCAAGTGATTTGGCCCTGATTCAGGCTCAGCTGATGCCCTATACATCAGGGCCTCCAAGGGTGCCCAGAAAGACACACACTCAGCTTTAGGAGTGTCTGCTTCCAACAGGGAAGGAGCCAAGAATGCCTGATATGCCCATGATGGAAACCCACGGCTCAGGCTGCTTGACCATTGTCATTGACCACCACATCCATCTCACCAACACCACTCAGGCAGGGGTGGGGCCTCTGGATGCTGGGCACCCACATTTCTGCACTAGCAGGGGGACAGGAAAGCATCTTTACAGGCCTCTAGGTAGCTAGCGCCAACCTTTCTCACCAACAAAACCAGAATCATGATTGGCGTTACACGTGATGTCACCTGGGAAAGCAAGCTCAGTGTTGGCATCCAACTAATTTCAAAATACAGCTCTCCCAACAAAACTAAGTTCTTCAGGCATTAATAAAAATAACAAAGCAGGGTAATCACTGGCAAATTGACTCAAGCCCTTTCTAAGTGTCCTGCTACAATGTGCAATTACTATCTCGTGGGCACGTCAGCTGCTCAGGGCTCCTCTGAAAGCAGATGAGGCCTCTGAGGGTCCCTCTCAACCCTGGCCAGGAGCTGCTTGGTTCCTGGCCTGTCCACGAAAGGTAACTGTACACCTACAAGGGCATATGTGTGAGCTCGGTACCAGTGCAGGTGGGGTACCCACAGTCACAGGAAAGGCAACTGGGACACGCAAACAACAGACAGACCTGGCCAATCTCTGAGGATAGCGAGTGGACCAGTGCAGTCAGCATGGCCACACGCTGCAAGCCCCCAGGTGTGCCATCCACATCCAAGGCACAGATGGTGAATAGGACACAGACATCAGGCTGGGGAAGGCAGGTGGGGAACACCGTGCCTCTGTGGCCACGCCAAACGGATACTAGCAGGTCACGCATTATCAGGTCCCGTGGTCCCCACATCCAGAAGCCACTCCCCAGCCTAAAGCCCAGGCCATCACCATCCCCACAGGAGCCCAGCCACCTCCAGGCAGCACGGAACAGCAGGATGGCTTCATGACAGCACTTGGGAGATCCAGGGCCTACGTAGTGGGGCTTAGCCCCAAGGGTACCCTGAGAGGGCCCTACAGTGCTTGGGTGGATGGTCAAGGACTAACACTCCCATGAGGCAGAAGGACCCCCTCATGCTGGACACCACCATGGGAAACAAAGGTTCCAGATGTGACCCCCTAGGAAGCAGTGCCCAGCCCTGCAACGGCAACTCAGAGCAGCCTTCTGTGGGGAGGAGGCAGCACAGAGGGCTAAGGCCCTGAAGATGGGGGCCAATGACAGGAGGGGCAGCATCAGCAGATGGCCTGAAAACACGGTTCTCTCCAAGGTGGGCCAGGCCACCTCCAACTAGGATTCCAGAGCTGGCCAGATGTGGGCTGGCTTTGTTTTCTCTACTCAGGTCTCACGCAGGTGCAGAAGTGGGCGAGTGACCTGAGCTGCCTGGAACAGTGTCAGTGGTCCAGACTTGTTCCTTCCAGGAATCCCAAAGCCAAGAAAAAACCCTATGGACCTAAGCACTGTCCGACAGGATACAGTCTGTGCGGGACCAGCACTGACCAAAGGAGGAAGGACCTGGGTGTTTGGGAAACGAGCCAGAGCGAGGACAGTGATTCTGGGTGCATCTGCATGCACCTCCTCCATTGCTGTCGCGACATGGTCTGACGCCAGGAATCAAAGTTCATTAGAAAGAAAAGAGACAGGGAGGTAATGCTTTAAAGTGGTTCCCCAAAAATCAGGGTCACCCCTGGACAGGTGGAAAATTCAGGAGGTGATATACCTTGCTGCCCTTCATTATAAGATGAATACGAATTGTTCTCTTTCCAACACTAACGTGGAAGGAAATTTTAAGTCACGGGGACCTGATGGCCTTCAAGATAAGACTTACTAGATCCAGAAATGTGATCTTAGCTTCCCTTGGCAGGAAACCCCAGAAAAAGTAGGCAGGCGATACTGCCTCAGTTCTGAGGAAACCAGCAGGTCCTAATGCTTCCCTGCATCCAGAGGGTAAGAGAATTAAACAGACTTTGGAAGGTGAGTTTTGGGGACATTCCAAAGCTCCTGGTCAAGGTACTTCTGAAGATAGGGAAGAGAGTTCAAGGGAGGGAGGATTCCTTCCATATAAAGGCCCCTGTGCTGAGGGCACACTCCAAGTGACCTGCCCTCCACTGGGACGGAGCCCTGACACTCAGGAATCCCAGGGGGCCCCAGGAGTGGAAGAACATCTCCACCCTGTAAACCCCTCCCCAGTCACAAAGCCAGCACACCATTCATCGCACTCTCCCAGTGCACAGTGTTCTGAGAGGCTTAACCTGGTGCCCTACCCTCCACACTCATCTTCAGTCCTAAGTGGACTGCCACACCAGTCTGGGGCCTCCTCCTATGATACTAAAATCTCGCTCTGCCATATATGTCCTCACTGGTGGCCTTGGGTAGGGGTACTCAACAATGAAGTGGGAGAAACAGCAGTCTCCTGGTCAGTGAGGAGGAGGCTGAACACACAGCAGATTCTTGGCTGTCCTAAGCTGGTATCTCTCAGCCCTGCCAAGCAAAAGGCAGCTGACCCAAAATGCTGCACATCGGCCAAAAGCAAACGTTAACAGTAACCTCTTATTGGGGGGAGATATAGGGATGGTTTCCCTACTGGCTTAGGGCTCCCAGTAACTCCTGGTCAATGAATGTCACCAGATGGGAAGGCATCTCCAGTCTTTCCACCACCACCCAAAGTCCAGGATTAACGGCCCTTGGACAGCAGCAGGCTCCAACTCTGAGCTGTGCTCAGAAACCTAGAGGCCAAATCACTTGCCTTCCCTTAAAGGAAATGGGAGTTAACAACCTCCTCCTCCAAAGGTCACAGCACCTGCAATGCCTCAGCCAGATCACCAGGGTTCTGCTGCTGAAGTCTAACCCAGAAATCTGCCTGTTACAGCAACCCCACTCCCGTCCTCCCCTGCACAGGCATTCCACAGGGTAGCAACAGTGGGTACTCAGACTGCCATGCTGGGTCACTTGGCAAGAGCAAGAAGGTAGGGAGACATGGTTACTCTCTAGAAGCAAAAATCCTCTTTTCCCCCAGATATTTCACTTTCAGATCTTCTCCACCCTCTACATTTTCAAGGAGCACTGATGCCCACTCATTCCTATGCCATCCCCAGCACACCCCACGGACCCCAGGGCACCTCTCAGAAGGGCCATGAAGGAGAGGAGGTGTCAGTTGCTTGGGAAAGACTCCCTGGGACACCTACATTTCCATGGCAGAAAAGGGTCTCCGGGGAGGGGTGACCCCTAGACTTCCTTGTCTCAGGAGAAAGGGTTAGGACAGGTTGGCACCACCAAATTAGTCCAATTCTCTATTACTCTCACATGTACATACACACACACAAACACACACATGCACACCCCCAGCCAGAACCTGGAGAACAGATCAACCAAATCCTTTTTTTGAGCCAAAAAGGGAGGCGGCCTGCAGTGTGGCCAGAGGCCCTGCGTCAAGCCTGGAAGGCCCAGCTAACTTTACAGGGTGCTGGCGTAGGCTTACACTCCTGAGGCCAGCCCCATGCTGGACAGTTGCCCCCACAAAAGACAGAGAGCCAGTAAACACCCACTGTTACAAGCATGGCCCGGGGACAGCTCAGGTTACGGTTTATATAATCTTCCAAGGCTGGGGCTGACACAGCCAACATGAGGGCAAGGTTATGAAAAATGCATGCCCAGAGCCTTTGCATTTAAAAAAAGAGAAAAAAAGCCACCCACTTGCATTTTGCATGATTTGGTTTTAAGACATCATGCACCCACTTTGTGAACAAATGGGCTTTGGGAGCTTCAAGAGGCTACTCACAGCTCTTTCAGGCATTGTCCTACAGGCCCCATCTTAAACAGACCCTACGTCAGAAGAAGCCCCTTAGAAACCCCAGGCCAGGACACCTACACCATGCACAACTTGGGAAGGTGCTCATTTAAGAGCAGTTCAGAGTTCCCAAGCCGGTGACACAGGGTCCTGCAGCCCTCACATTGCTTCTGCAAAGACACCAAGGTCCATACAACTTGGGTCGGTACAGCCCTGGAATTGGAAGTCAAGAAGGAGTAACACTGATAAACACACCCTCCAAAGTGCCCACTCTGCCCACTCTCCAGTGTGGGCCACATTGTGACACACTTGGATGCCACCACACACCAGGAGATCCCTCCTCCATCACCCAATCTGCATCACACACAGCCACCCCTCCTCACCCACCCCCACACGTCCGGCCACCCACACATAAGGTGACACACTGCTGCCCAAATGCTACCTAAGGCCAGGTAGGACACTACAGGAACAAGGACATGCGGGAAGACACACTCGCCCACCCCGCAACTGCGGCCAGAGCACTCCTCACCTGCAGCTCACACCAGGCCACCTCCACCCAGGTCTCTGTGTCCAGCCCTTTGTACACCGTCTTGAAGGAGCCACGGCCCAGCTCGATATCGAACTTAAGGAAGCGGCCGTCCAGGGATGTGGCCACGGCCTTGAGGTCATCCTCATCGTCCTCCTCCTCCTCTGGCTCGTCCCGGCGTGCGCGCCCAGGCTCCGGCCTTTCCCCGGGCACCCTCGCGTCGTCCTTCCTGACTGACGCCGCCTCCTCTCCAGGCCCGCCGTCCGGGGCGGGCGCCGGAACCGGGTCCAGGCCCGGCTCCTGCACACCCGTGGGCTCTGAGCCAGGGTCACTGGAGGCACCCAGCGGCGCAGCGGTCGCGGTGGGCGCTGGGGCGGCGGGGCGGTTACGGGCGCGCTCGGCGATGAGGCGGCGGGTCTTGCAGAGCAGCAGCACCCGGCGCTGCAGGGGCTGCGGGGGCTGCACGCCCGGAGCCTCGGCAGACTCCAGGCCCGGTGGTTCCTCCTGGTCCGACTCCACCACGCTGCGCCGTAGGAAGCGCTGTGGCCCGGGCCGCACCGCCCGCGCCCGCGGCACCGCCGCCGGTTCCGCCATGCCCGCGGGCCCCGCGCCGCGCCCGACCTCCATCTGAGCTCCAGGGGAATCTAGGCGGCCGCCATCGCCGTCCATCTCTGCGGGCAAGGACACACAGGCCCGCGTGAGCGCGGGCCCCGCCGCACCTGTCCGGGTTGTGGGATGAGACAGAGCCGCCGCAGCACCCGCGCCCTGCCCTCCCGTCCCGCCTTGGCCACGAAGGGGCCTTACGGGCTCTCCCTGGGGAAGGGGCTGCTTACGTGACCGGGAGATCTGAACTGGGGGGAGGAGGCCGTGCCCTACTCAGCCCAGCCCTGCTCAGCTGGGCTGTCCCTAGGGGGCCGGGGCAGGCTGCAGAAGGGACGGACGGGGAGATTGGGGGAGAGGGAGGAACCTGCCAGGCAATGGCTCCACAAAGGACCTGGCCGGGGGTGCAGGAGGGGCGCGTGAGGAGGGGGCTGCGGCGGCGCGGCGCGCACACAAAGGAGGCGGGCGGGGTGCTCAGCACTCACATAGCAAACGGGCGCCGTCCATGCCCGGGGCCTGGCGGCCGGGACGGGCGAGGGCGCGCTTGGGGCCAGGAAACGCGCTCCGGGCGGGGGTCGCTCTCCGGGTCGGGTCAGGTCGTGAAGTGCTCCCTAGAGCCGCCAGCTGCGGAGCCGCGCTCCCGCGTGCGTATTGCTCGGGCTCGCCGCGGCCGCGTTCGGCACCGCACCGGCTCCGACCCGGCGCGCTAGGAGGGCGGGGCCTGTGCTGGTGGCTCTCGGCCGGCGCGGCGGGGCGGGGCCTGGCACGCCCACCTGGCCTACTGCGCGCTCGGCCACCTGCGGACAAGCTTCCCAGGGTCCCCTCAAGATCTCTGCCCAAGCTCCACAGCAGCGCGTGCCCTCAGTGTCTCTCAGCTCCCAGTCAAGGCTGTACTCCTGGCCCCCCGAGTCTCTTTGGACTGCTTTGCAGGGCTGCTGACTGCGGAGGGCCCCATGTGTCCCGGAGAAGAGGCACAGGTTCTCTGCCTCACCTAGCATAGCCGGTGTGCCAGACCTTTGAGCTCTGTGCCAGGGCAGAATGGGCAGTCTACAGGGCAAAGGACCAGGGCCAGTGATTCCCCACTCAAAGGAAGACCTCAGGAAGAAGACTAAGTCCCACCCCTGCCCCAACAGGGGCTAAGCCTGGCTGAGCAGGGGGAGTGCCCTTCTCTCACTTCATCAGGATCCATCAGTACCTCACGACATCGTCAGGAGGGCAAGAGCTGTAATCATTATTCTTATTTTTCAGTTAAGCAAACCGAGACCCCAAAGGCAAAAATTATCTGCCCTAAATCCCAGAACTCCTAAGACAGGCCAAACTAGCATGTGGATGCATAGGGGCAGGAGAGCCTTGCAGAGGCCCCTTGGCCCACAACGTTCTGCCTGACCCACCTCTGTTAAATGACACTGCCCCTATTACCAGATCTCCTCCTCTCCTTTCCTCCTCTGGGCTCCCATGGGCATGCTCTTCTCTTGGGCATCTTGAAGCTTATTGTGGGGAAATGGCATATAGCAAAGACTACACTACTAGTTTCCCAGCCCTATTGCATGCAAGGCTCTCACCCTGTCCTCTCTAAGCTTGTGATATGTAGTCATTGGCCCACTTCCAGAGGAGGAATTGGAGGCAAGGGGAGGCAGTAGGTCCAAGGGAGCTAACAAGCTGTTGCCATGTTGGTCTCACCCCCTAGCATGACATACTGTCAAGCACACAGAAACTTTCAGACACATGGTGTGCCTGTGGGCTGCTGGACCTGGAGCCCTTGGCACAAAGGAACTCAAGTGACATCATACCCTCACAATTAGAATGGGGTAGGGGGTATCAAGCTGACTTACCAAAGCAGCAGGACTTTCTGAGTTTCTGCAGGGTGCTGGGGGGTACTGTTGGGTGCTGAAGCCAGCAGAGACCGACTTGTGAGGGCCAGTGTCTCTTTCTAACTCTGTTCAGTGACACCTGGCAAAGCTGGGAGAATTTATACCATGGAAATGGGCAGATGCCACAGATAAGGACTTCCCTCCTTCCATCAGCAGAGAGCCATGGTTCCACAAAGTGGTGGTACTGGGCTGGGCATTTGTCACATACCTGTGAAATGCAGGCTGCAGTCCTCACGTCCACTTGTGGGACAGGCATCAAACTCAGAGTCCACATGAAGACGGGACAACAGCAGACAAGAGCTCTGCCAGCCTGAGGACATCCTTTGATGTGGGGATCTGAGTCCTCCCACCCAGAGTGGGCCTTCCAGGCAGAGGTGGGGTGGGTGAAGACCTTACTGTCTTTCCTGGGGAGACTAGAGACCCCAACCTTTCCCTGCCATTTGCATAGCCTTGAGCCAGTCCCACCCTCACCAAGCCTCAATATAGCCCCTGAAGAACTGGCCTGACCATGCCGGTTTTTCCCCCTTTAAAGACCACCAATTTCTCCAAGACCCAGCAAGCCTTTGAGGGTGCCACGAGTCCCAAGCCTGTAACAGGCATGCCCAGGCCCGTCCAGGGAAAAACTGAGCAGGGATGGAGCTATGCATGTTCCAGACAGATGCATTCCAGTCTGGCCTCTTCTCAGTTCTCAAAAGGCCACATGGTGGTGTGTGGACATTGTGCCTGCCTCGTGATGGAGAAGATGGCTGGTCATTCACATTACTGCCTGTGGGCCACTGCTGGCTGATGTGTCAAGTATTGCAGCAGGATTCCCACACATCACAGGAGCAGCTCAGGACCTGGGGGAGCAGGGAGAACCTGCCCTGACTGAGTGCTACATTTACTCTCATCCGTTAGGCATGGTTTGAGGCACACCGCTAACATGCCTCCTGTGACAGGGAGCTTAATTTCTCTGCTGACCCATGACCATTAGAGTCCACAGCTATGCAGCTAGTGGAGAGGTCACAGCCCTCTTTGCAAGGAACCTTAGGCTGGGCTCTGGTTCAGGTTCTGGGATCCGAGAAGGGGAAGCCTGAGGCATCCTTGGACAGACCTTGAGACCAGAACTTTGCCAGGATCACTGTGAGTCCTTAGCCATGTCACTTGACATCTTCAAGCCTCCATCCATCTCCCTGGCTCTGATGGGGAGAATAAGCACTGCCTGTCTGCTTTACTGGTTGTCTTAAGGATGGCATGAGCCAAGCCAGCAGGAGACACTCTGCAAAACCGCCTGCCCCAGGCTGGCAATGGAAGCACCCCTTTCCGCTGCCAGGAACAGCCAGCCATCTCAGTGGCTATCAGGCAAAATGGGTTGATTATCTCCATGTTACAGAAGAGTGCATTGACGCCAAGTCTGGAGAATTTTCAACTTTAAGTAGCTTGCTCAAGGCCACAGAGCTAGCCATAGCGCCCCTCCCACTCTCCATAGCTGTCACCCCAGCTACCCGAGACTCCAGTGCCAGGGAGCCCCAATCCAGTTTGTCCAGATGCCCAGCCTGGTCAGTGAGATGGACACCTGCAGGTACATACCTGTCCATGCAGACGCACTCCTGGGTCCAGAACCCAGCAGGCAACAAAACTAGGTCATCAGCTTGTTCATCTATGAGGTGGATATAATGGTCATGATCAACAGTGTTGAGGTGCAGTCAGTGTCCCACAAAAGCTCTCTCATGGAAGTAGAGAACCCACCCTCTGCCTCTGCTCACAGAAGGCCCCAGAAGGCTCACCAGTAGGAAAGATGAGGTTTGGTCCTGGCCAAGGGAGCCCAGCTGCCAGGTGCTGCCCTTGTGTGAGCTCAGGCAGCCCAGGACAGTCTAGCAGTCAGATTCAGTGCAGCTGGGCCCCCTCCCTGAGTCCTCCCACAGGCCACAGCACAAGAAGGCAGCCCCTCACCTGTGATAAGGGGCAACTAGCTCACTGGACCACTATATGGAGACTGCCCACTGGCAGGCCAGATAGCAGAGGGTGATGAGATGGTACCAGGAGAGCAGAGTGGGAGATAGCATGAGTGTCCTAGGAGGACAGAGATGCATCAGAGTAGACACCTCAGGGGCCCACACCCAAAGGAAGGGTGTTGGTGGGGGGATGGAGGGACAGGCACATTGGGTGGGCCTCTCAAGAGGGTCCTGTGTGGCTGGGAGGGTGAATGCTAAGCCCGTCTACTCTAACCCCACCCAATGGGGCTCCCCACCCAACTGGTGCCACAGTGTTCTATAACACAGTCTTTATTTTATTCTTCTTTGTAATTAATTACTAAGTTGATACAACATTTCCTTTATACCCAAATTCAAAAATGTATTCACTTTTTAAATAGTATCTTTATTGAGCCATAATTACCATACCACAGAATTCACTCTTTCAAAGGGTTCAATTCAGTGGTTTTTAGTATCTTCACAGAGTTGTAGGACCATCACCACTCTCTAATTCCAGCACATTTTCACCAGTCCAAAAAGAATCCTGAGCCCTGGCTGGTGTGGCTCAGTTGGTAGGAACATCGTCCTGTAAACCAAAAGGTCACCTGTTCTATTCGCAGTCAGGGCACATGCCTAGGTTGTGGGTTTCGTCCTTGGTCAGGACGAACCCCACATAAGAGGCATATAAGAGGCAACTGGTAGATGTTTCTCTCACACATTGATGTTTCTCTCCCTCTCTCCCTGCCTTCCCCTCACTCTAAAGTCAATAACCATGTCCCTGGGTGAGAATTTTTTTTTAAAAAAAGAAGGAAACTGTCCCCATTAGCAGTCACTTTCCCCTCCCCTCTCCCAGGCCCAGGCAACCAGTAATCTACCTGCTGCCTATGGGGGACTCTGGCCCAGGAAGCACCCCCCTCCCCAATGGGACGCAGATGAAAGAAAGAGTCGTCCCAAACACTGTTTGCCTGTCAACGAAAGGGGAAGGCAATTCTCTCTCAAAGAGAATACCCGGTGCCCCTGTGCTCAGTGGTTTTTATTGAGAGGGTTGCAAGCAGGGGGACAGGTAGCAGGAATGTATAGGTAATCTAATTACATCAGTAACTTAAGCTTACAGAGAATGGGTGATGTTTAAAGAAGACAGTGGCAGGAACACACCAAACTGCTTGGGTCTGAGATGAGCAAACATTATGGCACCAGATGGGACTTGGGTCAGGGTCCAGGAATTTTGTAAATTTCCTTCCCAGCCGTGAGCTGGTTATCTGGTGTAAGATTAACAGGGCTTGAGGGAGAAACAAAGCATGCTTCCAGGAGTGTCATTTACTTCCAGGCCTGATTTTGCCCTGGAGCCCTCGGAGCTATTATTGGGTCCTGCCCATCAACTGCATTACCAGTGTTCTGGCCAAGTCTTATGAGGCCTCTCCCAGGCCCCAGCTTGTGAGGGACTACAATCCCCAATACCACTCAAAGCGGTCCCCTACAGCTGCCTCTATGGATTCACCTGTTCTGGACTTTTTATAAATGGACTCTAACAGTATGTGGTCTTTTGTGACTGGCTTCTGCTACTCAACATGATTGAAAGGTCCATCCATGTTGCAGCAGGTATCAGTACTTCATTCCTTTTTATGGCCGAATAATAATTTTATGGATATACATATCGATTTTTAAAAAGCACATCCTCATTATAGAAAATTTATAAGACAGAAAAAATGGAAATAAAAATTTTTAAGTGGTGTTGGTGTTGGTACCCAGGTGTGACTACCAGGGCACCCCCTGCAGCCGGCATGTGTCTATTTGCATCAGGCTCACATCAAAGAAGCAAATCACAATTCAAATCTTTTTCTCTTACCTATGGTTATTTAATTTTACTCTGTTAG